TCATCTTGTGAGTGGACACACCGCCATAGTGACAGTATTGGGCAGCGCCACTCATCTTGTGAGTGGACACACCGCCATAGTGACAGTATTGGGCAGCGCCACTCATCTTGTGAGTGGACACACCGCCATAGTGACAGTATTGGGCAGCGCCACTCATCTTGTGAGTGGACACACCGCCATAGTGACAGTATTGTGCAGCGCCACTCATCTTGTGAGTGGACACACCGCCATAGTGACAGTATTGGGCAGCGCCACTCATCTTGTGAGTGGACACACCGCCATAGTGACAGTATTGGGCAGCGCCACTCATCTTGTGAGTGGACACACCGCCATAGTGACAGTATTGGGCAGCGCCACTCATCTTGTGAGTGGACACACCGCCATAGCAGCATGTACAACACTCCCCAATAGGAAGAAAACCCGCTGGGTTGTTCATCCTGTCACTTGTACCCAGACACAGCTGGGACTTGCTTAACTGTCTCAAGTGAACAGCTCCTCAAACAAGAAGATTAACATCTATCAACCCTTAAAAGCTTACATTATCTTGCGGGTGCAAAATGGGGAAATCTTTTAAGAACAGTATCAATATTTGACAAATAGTGTTTTCCTAACTCAAATAATGTGGGGTTTATTATTCTACACATTGTCGTTAATGCGATGTAAGTCCCTTGAGAAGTGTTACCAGGCCCAGTAGCAACACTTAGTCAGTAGAGCTTCTGTCGTTGATGAAGAAGTGACAGGATCCAAGGAGTGCCGGACCAACCGGGCTGTGGTGGGTATGTGGGCCTGCGGGCCGCTCCAAGCAACAGCCTGGTGGACCAAACTCTCACAAGTCAAGCCTGGCCCCGGGCCGGGCTTGGAGAGTAGAAGAACTCCCAGAACCCCATCAAGCAGGTATCAACCAGGATGAACAACCCAGCGGGTTTTCTTCCTATTGGGGAGTGTTGTACATGCTGCTATGGCGGTGTGTCCACTCACAGGATGAGTGGCGCTGCCCAATAAACTCGCCTCTCGGGGCAAAATTTAAAAACATTAAGCCACCACAAGAGGCGGCATAGGCATGAGTAGCCCGTATAGGTGATAGATGTTGGGGGTGAAGAGCTTCGGCTCTTTGGTCCCGCCTTTCAACTGTCAACTGGTGTACAGATTCCTGAGCCTACTGGGCTCTATCATATCTACATTTGAAACTGTGTATGGAGTCAGCCTCCACCACATCACTTCCTAATGCATTCCATCTGTTAACTACTCTGACACTGAAAAACTAAATTCTTATGTCTCTGTGGCTCATTTGGGAACTCAGTTTCCACCAGTGTCCCCTTGTTCGTATTCCACCCGTGCTAAATAGATTGTCTTTGTCCACCCTGTCAATTCCTTACAACTCATTTGCCAACTCCTTTAGGATTTTTCTTGTGTGATACAGAATTAATTACAACTTTTTCCCTAGACACTGATAGAGGCTGACACATATGATACATATGACACACATGAAACATACTGACATACACATGAAAATTCTGACATTGCATGATACACATTGACATATGATACTGTACTGACATGTGATACAGCCTGACATGTGATACATAATGACACACGTGATACATACTGACAACCTGATACAGGTTGACCCAAGCTTCCAACACTTTTGGATCACCGGTTCGAACCCATCTAGACAAATTATGCATTATATATTATCTATATATTTCCATATATAGAGAAATATAGTGTGTTCTATTTCGGGTAAATGTTAAGAAATTTAAGACGTTAATTGCACATAAATTGCACTGTAAAAAAATAGCAAAAGTACTTTTTAGAAAGTAAATAAATCCCCCATAACAGCAAGATGCAGTGAGGTCACTGACTCACTGAAGTTACCAAACTGACACGACAATTATATCACCACTGTTGTGGTTGGGGTCAGGGCATTGAGGTCACACGTGTTGGGGTCAGGATGGGGGTGGAGGGGTGGTGGGAGGGGGGTCATAAGAGCGTGGAGACCAGTATATAATCTGTCCTTGACCTCTTGGAGGCCAATGGAAGGAAACCCAGTGAGGGGAAAGCAGGTCAAGTGACCTCGACGGGATCAGGTGTGTTAATGGGGTCACAGGGAGAGGGCGAGTCAGGTGTGTGTGAGGCCCTGACGAAGGCTTCCTCACCTGCCTACTATATACCTGACACCTCTCTTGCTTATGGTTTACGGGCTCACCATAGCCCGTGCTACATGGACACTTCGTTCTGAGTAGCTAAATCTGAAACAACAACGTTCCTTATTGTTCCTTCACCTGCCCTTCTGTCTACCGGTTCTCTCGAAGCTTCAGCTTCAGTATCGAGGCTTCTCCCAGACAATTAAGGTGTATCTCTGGAAGCCCTCTCACACGAAAAAGCTTCTCTTTTAACAGGCGTGTGTCCGGAAGCCTCTTGCTTTTTTATGCTTCAACTTATGTGTTTAAGGTCGACTAAAGATCAAGGCTTCGGAAATCGGTTGTTACGCGAACGGCTTTATACTCCTTCTATTGCATTCTTAAGTTCAGATTCGGCTGGGGCCCGCCTCTACACCTTCAGCTACAATGGTGCAGTTTTTTTGCAGGTGCATTTTATAATCTTTATTCAGTACCTCACCCTTGGAGAAACCTGTATATTATTATCTTTGGACCATAGCAATCAAGGCCTTGCATGTTTTTATTATTTTCTGTTCTCTGCTCAATTCGTGGTTTGTTTCTTCTTTCAATAGTAACTTCAGTGGTTCATTTGGCATGTCTAGTAGTCAGAGTCTGGTAATGATCCATAGTATTTACATCCTCATTATTGTGTATTTTAGCTTCTTTTCTTCTCCTTATCTGCTTCTATTCTTCTCCTTACCTGCTTCTATTCTCCTTATTTGCTTCAATTATTCTCCTTATCTGCTTCTATTCTTCTATCCCTCTCTTTTCTCTCTGATCGTATTAGTATTCAGAGGGACCCAGCCAGCACAAGTGAATAATAATATATTATTGAATGTGACCGAGTCTTCACACCAGGGTGAGAGAGTGTGAAGGTGAGACTCACCTAGACTCACACCTAGGTGAGTCTAAAGCCAACACTGAAGGTAAACTAACTTAGAGAGTTTGTTGACATTTCTGTATCTACAAGTGACTGGCACATGTGTGGGAAACCCAGCGAGGACATGAGAAGACAAAGAGAGAGAGAGAGAGAGAGGAGGGAAGGGGCGACAAAGAATATCTTACATACACCTCTTAGGTTGGACAAAATCAGTAAGAGTTGTGAAAGTTGAGATAGACCACAACTTCCAGCGCTGCTGGTCAAAGCTAAGTGTAGTGGGTGGGATAATGAGAGTGAAAGTTAGTGTGAGAGAGACAGTCGTGAGTGACAAGTGCCACGTGGACTACGGAGAGTGAGGGAAGACACGCTTATAAACGTCCAAAGTCCACCTCTAATAGAAAACAAAACATATCATTGCATAAACACATCAGTGCAACAGAAAGTGAAGCTTTACTATCCATTTTACGATGTTTATTATTATAAAAAAAAATCACTTTAACCCTTCACTTCAAGCCTAAGGGAAGCCTTAGGCTTCAAGCCTTCAATCTCTGGGATTCACTTTTTTCCAGTGCCAAAAGTCTATCAAGATCATCTAAGGTTTGATCTGAGAAAAAAGTCATTAAAACTCATTAGACACAAAAACAGTAGTTTTACGAGGCATGACCCGCTTAGAGGTGAGAGCTGTGTGTACACAGAGCCAGAGTTGTCCACCACACAGTGTAACACTGCAGTGGGATATTGTTGGTTACACTGGGAACTCCAGGTAAACACACTCCCAACCCTGAGCACTAATGGTAAACTTTGAGAAGAGGTAATTGTATGCATTTCAATATTATGTGAGTGAATGTCCATTTATCAATGATTTTGTGGTGGTGGGTGATGGTGGGTGATAGTGGGAAGTAGTGGGTGATGGTGGGTGATAGTGGGAAGTAGTGGGTGATGGTGGGTGATAGTGGGAAGTAGTGGGTGATGGTGGGTGATGGTAGGTGATAGTAGGTGATGGTGGGTAGTGGTGGGTGATGATTGTTAGTCTATGCTCATATCATCTGATGCTCTATCTGCGAGATATACCTACTCTGAGGATTAGTTTCATTAGTGAGTTTTCTGTGTCCTCGTATGATATATTTCTATCAGTTAAAGACTCTATAACCCTTACCTTACCTTCCTGTTACCTTGGGACGATTTTTTTTTTTCGGAGGGTTAGCCTCCCCGCGGCCCGGTCTTTCGTTGCTGGACTGGTCAATCAGGCTGCCGGACACGGCTGCTCGCAACCTGACGTATGAATCACAGCCTGCTGGATCTGGTATCCTTTGAAGGTGTTTATCCCGTTCGAACTCGACCTGGGTTCGAACCTGCATTACAAGTAAAGTGGTTAGGCCAGGGAGTGATTCCTGGTAACGCAGGTTCGAAGCTTCGTCGGGTCATAGAGTTTTTAAGTGATTTGTTTTTAAGTGATTTGTAAGTTTTAAGTGATTTATGGCTTGGAGACCATTCATACTTTCTTCCACATTTCGTATACTTGTATGTATATCATACTTTCACCTCTTGTGGCCGCTCATGTTTCGCCGTATATCAAAATGTTCTCATAAGAAGGTGTTGGTAAACTCTTTTCGTCTATATACAGACGATGAGTCACAATAACGTGGCTGAAGAATGTTGACCAGACCACACACTAGAAGGTGAAGGGACGACGACGTTTCGGTCCGTCCTGGACCATTCTCAAGTCGATTGTGACTTGATTTATTTCTATTTTACCGCTCGCTAATGTTATGTACAGTAGTAAGAAATGCTTTATTTTAAAAGACGAAAAAATCTTTACGTGTATATTTCACAGAGACGTAAGTACCGGCTCAACACACGGAGCTCTTCGCTCACTGCTTCAAAAACAAAGCAAAAACACTATCCCTCACGACACGGACTCCGTTAAAGCTACGAAACTGTCAACTTTGCACTATGGAAAAATGATCGGTGATGGATGCAGTGAACTATATGAAGTCTTCAAGGCTATTCAGCCTCAGGCTACACTCGTTCCAGCCAACAACTTGGGCTTGGTCGGTATAGCGACGGCCTCGCTACTGCAGGTCATCGTCCGATCACCTTTAAAGTTATTTGTAACCAAAAATGCTATCAAACGTTAATTAAACACAGAAATCACAATAGCGTGATGCATCAAATGAACAAATCCACAAGGGCCATGACGAGGGTTCGAACCTACGTCCGAAAGCATCCCAGACGCTGCCTTAATCGAGAATAAGGGCAGTAGAACTTTTGGTTGTAATTCTTTTTACCATGTCGTAGCGCAGTTGATTAAGGCAGCGTCTGGGATGCTCTCAGACGTAGGTTCGAACCCTCGTCACGGCCCTTGTGGATGTGTTCATCGAACGTTAATGTTAATGCATATTATATTATCATGTATAGTTGGGCCTAGGATAGGTTAGATGAGGAGTTTTATATCTATTTGCAGGTATTTTTATTTGTAGTGCTGTACTTAAGTCAACAATGTTCATATGCTCGTTAATCCAACCACTTGGGCTGGACGGTAGAGCGATGGTCTCGCTTCATGCAGGTCGGCGTTCAATCCCCGACCGTCCAAGGGGATTGAACGCCGCATCATTCGTTCAATCTATTTAGACACCATTTCTTCTCCCCCCCCCTCACCTCCCCCCGTCCTATTCCAAATCTCTATCCTGACCACTTCCCAGTGCTATATAGTCGTAATGGCTTGGCGCTTTCCCCTTGATAACTCCCTCCCTCCCTTTCAGCCGCTAAACCAACTTGTTATCAACGAAAATAATTTACGCACGACTCACAACTGATAACGTTCGAACATTACTCGAATAGTGCTTCCCTGAAGACCTCTGTTCGAACCGCAACTCTGTAAATGGTTCACTCACGTGCTAAATATAAATAATTGCAAACATAACCTAAACACCTAACCTAACCTAACCTGCGTCTAAATATGCACAATATTGTAATATATAATAATATTAATTTATATTTTAGATTTTTTATTTAGAATGAAGAGCATGTTATAATTCATGAATGAATCTTTGGGTCGACCGCTGGATGGAATGAACACAGACTGAGGGCTGGGGCCAGATTCACGAAGCAGTTACACAAGCACTTATGAACCTGTACATCTTTTCTCAATCTTTTGGCGGCTTTGTTTACAATTAATAAGCAGTTAATGAGCTCCGAAGCACCAGGAGGCTGTTTATAACAATAACAACAGTTGATTGGGAAGATTTTATGCTTGTAAACTGTTTAATAAATGTAACCAAAGCCGTCAAAGATTGAGGAAAGGTGTACACGTTCGTAAGTGCTTGCGTAACTGCTTCGTGAATCTAGCCCCTGGTTGCTAGGCTTAAATTTGGAAAACTTTAAAAGCTCTTTAAATTACATTTAATTTTGCCTCTGTTAATTTCAATGTTTAAAACAATAAATGACAAAAATTTAGATTTTTTGCAAAAACTATCGCATCTATTTTTTTTGTAATTCCGAATTTCTAAATAAAAATAAATCCCTAACCGGTTGGTGGTACCAATATTGGTCCTTTAAATAGTGTCGAAGACCTTTCTAGATCAGCATCATCATGGCTCAAGCGGTATTGAGCATGTGCCTAGAGAGTCCAGGGACGAGAGTTCGATCCCATGGCCTCAATATTTTCTCATTTCTATATGCCTTAAAAAAAACACAAAACATTACGGCATGAGAAGCTAAAAGGGGGAGACCATTGTTTGGCCATTACCAAATGTCGCAACGCTCACCTTGACTAGTTCACATCAGTGCCATTTACCTCTCATTTCGGGGTCTTGCCTTTCATTGGAGACCTCAGGCACTGTACACATGACCTACAACCCACATGTGTACACACACACACGTATACCAAACATGTACAAACATGTACACGCACGTAGGCACACACACACACATATACAGGAACACATGTCTATATATTTGTGTGTGTGAGGATAGATAGATGTTCACTATAGACTTTATGACACCTCAATGATAGATGGGGGAGTGGTATATTAGTGGGTAGCTAGTGGGATGACATCTGGTCGTCCAGGTTCGAATCCTCGAGGAGTCAAAGATCATAGTGATTTACAGCTTTTAGGAGCAATTCAAGCTTTGTCTCACATATATACTTACATATACACATACACCACTTAGCCTGCCCCTTCAAAAGTTGGTCTAGCCTTAAGACACATAGTAACACATGGCGCGTATATATGTGTGTGTGCAAATATTTTTGCATGTGTGCGTACCTTGAGATACACACGTGCAAGCGAATTAGCAAGCGCCTACGTTCAAACAGTGACGTCGTGGCCCTCAGGTGCAATGAAGAGACTGGTGTGTTTGTCGTGTCAACCAACACTGCAAGGATCCTTTTCTCTGGCTCACCACACACACACACACACACACACACACACACACACACACACACACACACACACACACACACACACACACACACACACACACACACACACACACACAGCCCTCCAGCCAGCCCTCCAGCCAGCCCTCCAGCATCGCATTTTGACGCATAAATCGCTTAAAGTAAACAACTGATATACTAACAATCCCAGCGGCTGGCAAAATTACCGCGATGTCCCGTTTTCTATTGGTGGGTCCTCGGTTAGGTTAGAATGGGTGACTTTAGTACATCAGCTTAGTGAGGTTGGGAAGGCTGGGAAGGACGGGCTGAGTAGCCCCGGGTTACGACCAGACCTTGGCCTGTTATGTAGGCAGCGAGTTCACACGTCTTCCCACGCTTCCCCTGCTAGAGCACACGCTCCTGGGGTGGAGTGAGAGAGAGAGAGAGAGAGAGAGAGAGAGAGAGAGAGAGAGAGAGAGAGAGAGAGAGAGAGAGAGAGAGAGAGAGAGAGAGAGAGAGAGAGAGAGAGAGAGAGAGAGAGAGAGAGAGTTACATCAGTAGCTGTGGTGGCAGTCAATTCACTGCCATGATATTACATGATTTTTCTTTTTTTCTGAAACTGCAAGCAAGAGCTGTAGTCCTTCTTTAGCTAAGTTGAAACCTACTCCTAGAGGTCCATTTGTTTCACGAGCCTGTTATAAGCATCAGTAGGAATAGCCTTTATTCATTAACAACATTAGGTAATAATCATATAAGGAACAGGATGAGCCTAGGAATGAATGATCGCTGATGGAGTGATGTTCTTGAGAAAGTGACTTCCAGCCTGAGACTATTGAAGGTTGAGAGCCTAGTGCAACGGGTGGCAACTACTGGTAGTCCACGGAGTTGGGCCAGGTGCGGAACTTTGAGTATGTTGGCCTTGTACATAACCGAAAGACCACCAACGTCCCGACGGTGTTGCAGGCTCTGATGTTCAGACCGTTCCCACCAGACTTGGTCAAGACTAGAGATAAGCCTTCCTGTCCGTCTCTCCAATTTGGCCAACAGTCTGATGAATGATTCAGGCGATTCAGAAAGGGGTGCATACTCAAGATGAGAGTAAACTCTCTCTCTCTCTCTCTCTCTCTCTCTCTCTCTCTCTCTCTCTCTCTCTCTCTCTCTCTCTCTCTCTCTCTCTCTCTCTCTCTCTCTCTCTCTCTCTCTCTCTCTCTCTCTCTCTCTCTCTCTTTACATATCATTAACGAGTCTAGTATATAAGGTATAAGACTGGCCAACGAGACCAGTATCACAGGTGACACAACAAACATGTGTCCGTGTTCTAATGACGCCAGGTGCGATGGTTGGCTAGGCGACGTGTGCGACAGGTCGGGAAGAAGGATTGGGGAAAATCAGAGTATACAGGACAAGGCTCCGGGCAGGTCAGAATGACCGCTGTTGGTAAAGATATGAAGAATACCCATGAGTCCACTCGTTCTTGTAGCTGGGAGCCACACCTGCACACCGCTGAGCTATGAATTAATCATTGTTAATCGTTGATTAACGATCGTTTATTGACTGATGAGGGTAGGAAGGAAAAGCTGAAAGTATACCTCATATTTTGTGGCAAAATACCCACCAGCCTTTTGAACCCGTCAAGAGGGTTCTGCCCCACCAAGTGCACTACACCCCTACTGGAGCTGTCAAGAGATGTCTCCCCTACCTACTACACTCCACCCCACTGGAGCAGTCAATGCCGTCAAAAGGTGTCTCACCCACCTAGCGCACTCCACCTCCACAGGAGCCGTCAAAAGGTGTCTCCTGAACCAACAGGCCCTACCTCATGACCCAACAGCTGGAGAAACATGACCCTTGTGTTCTCTTGTTCTACGGAACAACTTTTTCTTCCCCCAGCGTGACGTAACGCCATTCATGGGCCAGACACGCGCCAGGGGAGGACGACCTGACCTCGCTACGTAATCTGGGACCAGATTCACGAAGCAGATACGCAAGCACTTACGAACCTGTACATCTGTTCTCAATCTTTGGCGGCTTTGTTTACATTTATTAAGCAGTTAATGAGCTCCGAAGCACAGGAGGTTGTTTTTGTAACAATAACAACAGTTGATTGGAAAATTTTCATACTTGTAAACTGTTTAATAAATGTAACCAAAGCCGTCAAAGATTGAGGAAAGATGTACACGTTCGTAAGTACGTGCGTAAGTGCTTTCGTGAATCTGGCCCCTGACTCTTAGCTTAACTTCTTACAAAATACATTTCATTCTGCCTTTAGATGCTGACATGAAAATGTTGAGAATAGATTTAGATTCTGTATTTTGGCTAAGGAACAGTGCAGTAAATATTGAAATGCAATGAGTGATAGGGACAGCGTATCTGAATGACTTTACGAATATATAGTATAGAAAAAATATATTCTAAAAGGGAAAAATCAACTATTTTGAGTGGATGAGCCTCTTGCACTGGTCCGGTATGGTGAAGTGAGCTCATATACATGCATATACACCCCTCTGGTACCAAACATTATATTATAATCATTCACTGCGTCGGAGGACAGGCAGCCAGTGTATATATACAGGTCTAAGTTATATCTAGTTCCCCTTCCCCCAGAGTCGAATCACTGACCCTCCCCCATGATGCAACCCTTCAAAAAGGCGACTAACTTCTGGGCACCTATTTACATTTTTAGCATGTCATGGTTAAATGGTGTAAGGCGTGTGCTTGGGAGTACCCAGTGTGCAGGTGCGAGACCTCATCATAGCTCTTACTTATTTTCTCATTGATACATCACGTTAATATGATTTCTTTATGCATTTTTGCTGATATTTTATATATATATATATATTATATATATATATATATATATATATATATATATATATATATATATATATATATATATATATATATATATATATATATATATATATATATATATATATATATATATATATATATATATATATGAACAATGATCCACATAATACTATAAGCATTTATTAAACAGGAGGATGAGCTGTTTCACCTGCGCCTCGCAAAAATAAAATAAATAACTATCAACGGAACAGGGCACCTAGGTCATAAAAGTATTTGTGTGTACGTCTGATACCATACTACTTGTGAAGGAGGAAATGTATATTTTACCTCTCAGAATGTTTGGTAATGTGTTTATTTGTGATGTGTGTCTATGTATATATTAACACGTTGTACTGAATGGGGTGAGAATAGCTTGAGCTACCTCATCCCTTTGTGTGTATTTTACCTCAATAAACTTATTTCTATTTCAATTTCAATTTCAACGGAACAAAAACACTTAGACTGCACTGAACACAAAATTCTTACAATATTAATTTATAGTTGAGAAAAAAAACTTTTTTTACTACCCAGTAAGTTTTTTTCTTAATTTATAAACCATTTATGAATGAGTGTTCTCCCTGTAGGGAATGGCTTGGTAAACGATTAAATTAGAACAACTACCCCAGGCCTAAGAACAGCCATCCCAGGCCTAAGAACAGCCATCCCAGGCCCAAGAACAGCCATCCCAGGCCCAAGAACAGCCATCCCAGGCCCAAGAACAGCCATCCCAGGCCCAAGAACAGCCATCCCAGGCCCAAGAACAGCCATCCCAGGCCCAAGAACAGCCATCCCAGGCCCAAGAACAGCCATCCCAGGCCCAAGAACAGCCATCTCAGGCCCAAGAACAGCCATCCCAGGCCCAAGAACAGCCACCCCAGCCCCAGAACAGCCATCCCAGGCCCAAGAACAGCCATCCCAGGCCCAAGAACAGCCATCCCAGGCCCAAGAACAGCCAGGCCCAGGCCCAAGAACAGCCACCCAGCCATCCCAGGCCAGCCCCCAGGCCCAAGAACAGCCATCCCAGGCCCAATCCCAGAAGGCCAAAGAACAGCCATCCCAGGCCCAAGAACAGCCATCCCAGGCCCAAGAACAGCCATCCCAGGCCCAAGAACAGCCATCCCAGGCCCAAGAACAGCCATCCCAGGCCCAAGAACAGCCATCCCAGGCCCAAGAACAGCCATCCCAGGCCCAAGAACAGCCATCCCAGGCCCAAGAACAGCCATCCCAGGCCCAAGAACAGCCATCCCAGGCCAAAGAACAGCCATCCCAGGCCCAAGAACAGCCATCCCAGGCCCAAGAACAGCCATCCCAGGCCCAAGAACAGCCATCCCAGGCCCAAGAACAGCCATCCCAGGCCCAAGAACAGCCATCCCAGGCCCAAGAACAGCCATCCCAGGCCCAAGAACAGCCATCCCAGCCCCAAGAACAGCCATCCCAGGCCAAAGAACAGCCACCCCAGGCCCAAGAACAGCCATCCCAGGCCCAAGAACAGCCACCCCAGGCCCAAGAACAGCCACCCCAGGCCCAAGAACAGCCATCCCAGGCCCAAGAACAGCCATCCCAGGCCCAAGAACAGCCATCCCAGGCCCAAGAACAGCCATCCCAGGCCCAAGAACAGCCACCCCAGCCCCAAGAACAGCCATCCCAGGCCAAAGAACAGCCACCCCAGGCTCAAGAACAGCCACCCCAGGCCCAAGAACAGCCATCCCAGGCCCAAGAACAGCCATCCCAGGCCCAAGAACAGCCATCCCAGCCCCAAGAACAGCCATCCCAGGCCAAAGAACAGCCATCCCAGGCCCCAGAACAGCCACCCCAGGCCCAAGAACAGCCATCCCAGCCCCAAGAACAGCCATCCCAGGCCCATGAACAGCCATCCCAGGCCCAAGAACAGCCATCCCAGCCCCAAGAACAGCCACCCCAGGCCCAAGAACAGCCACCCCAGGCCCAAGAACAGCCATCCCAGCCCCAAGAACAGCCATCCCAGGCCAAAGAACAGCCATCCCAGGCCCAAGAACAGCCACCCCAGGCCCAAGAACAGCCATCCCAGCCCCAAGAACAGCCATCCCAGCCCCAAGAACAGCCACCCCAGGCCCAAGAACAGCCACCCCAGGCCCAAGAACAGCCATCCCAGGCCCAAGAACAGCCACCCCAGGCCCAAGAACAGCCATCCCAGGCCCAAGAACAGCCATCCCAGCCCCAAGAACAGCCACCCCAGGCCCAAGAACAGCCTCCCCAGGCCCAAGAACAGCCATCCCAGCCCAAGAACAGCCATCCCAGGCCCAAGAACAGCCACCCCAGGCCCAAGAACAGCCACCCCAGGCCCAAGAACAACCATCCCAGGCCCAAGAACAGCCATCCCAGGCCCAAGAACAGCCATCCCAGGCCCAAGAACAGCCATCCCAGGCCAAAGAACAGCCACCCCAGCCCCAAGAACAGCCACCCCAGGCCTAAGAACTGCCATCCCAGGCCCAAGAACAGCCATCCCAGGCCCAAGAATAACAACAGACTGGAGGATCCCTCAAGAAGACACACTCAGTAACACTGATTTACATAACAACATACCAAATACCATTTAATATAATTAAATAAAGATTCTTCTCAAACAAAAAATAATAAAACAGACTTACCTTTACTAATGAGACATCCAGATCAGCAGCAGCTCTACTACACACTAACACACTCCAACACTGACCCAAACACACACACACTCACACCGCCACACAACTCACATCACCCGTAAACACTTAGGGTGTAGCAACGTAGGTTGTTTACTACAAAACTCAGGTCCAATCACTGGGGAAAATACACTGAGTGGCCCACACCGAGTGTGGAGAAGGCTGGAGTGTGAGTGTGTGTGACAGGCCATAGTGAAGGGGAGGTAGAGTAGTGGTGTGACGTGTGGTTGTCACTCGTGCAGAGCGCTAGAGCTCTCTCCTGACATGCACACACCTGGCTCTATAAGAGTGATGATTCCACACCTGTGAGAAGGTGAGTCCCATCTGATTACTAGGTGCATTCCTCCCACGGCGAGGCCTGACGCTTGCACCAAAGGTGTAATGGGCGGCCCTATTACACCAGTCTGTTGCAGGTGGTCAATTTTAGCATTGTTCTCAGCCTTGTAGGTAGCCACGGCGCTGTGACATGGCAAACACGGCGCCGTGGCTGATAGCTCCAGCGCTGTGACTGGCACTCTCAATTTTACAACACTACATTCGTAAGAGAAAACATTATGTTGATACACCGTCACCTGTACTCCTCGTGTGACAGTGGTCTGTGACAGCGAAGTGGTCAGGAGAGCACGTCACTCAAGACACAATCATTACAGAGCCATAAATTACCTCCAAGATTCATAACAGCTAAACCACCGCTGAACAGAGTTGCTGAAGCTGCACTATGAGATGAGGGTATCGTCTGGATCCACCTAAAAGAGGCTGTCGATGTTATTTTCGTACTTGTGTGCCTCCTCACTATTCCCAAATGCTTTTGCAGCTTTCTGGCTGCTATTGTCCGTCCTAATATCCTTGCATTTGTCAGGGTTAAAGTCCATTAACCATTCCTTAAGGCACCTCTGTAATGTGTCCAGTTTATGTGGAAATGTATTACATGTCTCTTCGACTTTAATTCTTCCCATTAGTTTTCCATCACCAGCAAATACTGAGAGAGAAAGAAGTCTTTTTTCCTGCATCAGGTCGTTTACTTACAATAAGAACTGTGTAGGTTCTAGTACCGAGCCTTGCGGTACTCCACTCATCATCTATCCAGCCTCGCATCTCCTCAACAGTCTGAAAATCAGTTACTGATTCTAGAGAATTATGCCTGATATAAATGCAAAACTTTTCCACCTTAGGATTAAGTAGAAGCAATAGAAAGTGCTAACTAAATCCTCAAAATATAACTAAATCAATCGTGAAATCCTACAAAATGTTTAAGTGAAAAATAAATATCGGTTTTCATTTAACCGACTAGAATTCTGACTAATGTAAACAGCCCAACGTATTTGATATGACAGGTGTCAACACACTGTGTTTACTCATTATGGAAATTTTCTTACAACTCTGAAAACACACACACACACACACACACACACACACACACACACACACACACACACACACACACACACACACACACACACACACACACACACACACACACACTTTTTTCCTGCCTCAGGTCGTTTACTTACATTAAGAACTGTGTAGGTTCTAGTGCCGAACCTCTGTCAACTGTCACCAGTTGATTGACAGTTGAGAGGCGGGACCAAAGAGCCAAAGCTCAACCCCCGCAAGCACAATTAGGTGAGTACAATTAGGTGAGTACACACACACACACACACACACACACACACACACACACACACACACACACACACACACACACACACACACACAAGTACAACAAGGACAGAGACCGAATGATAAAGGTGGTTTTCATGAGCGAAATCGCGAAAGAGGAACTGCTAGCAAGGAAGTGTTGTCTAAAAGGTGTAGAGAAGTTCAAGAAAATATTCCTGCAGAGGGATATGACAAGGGAAGAGAGAATACGGACAGCAGACGCGAGGAAGGAGCGCAGGGAGAGAGAAGGAAATCAGAGTACCACAACCCAGAACCCTACAATCCCAGAGGGAAGTGGAGAACCCTCCTCAAACAGTGCAACAGCCACAGGGATTGGGGCACCACCCCCAAATTCTACCCAACAGACACCCAACCTGCCCCATCCCCTGTCAGCCCCCCACTAAGTACCCACCTAGGGCACCCTCCCCCCACCCACCCCCCTCCCCCCACTCACCCCCCTTCTCCCCCTCACCCCTCTCCCCAGGACCTCCCTTCTCCCCCATCCCCCATGCCCTCCCTTCTCCCACATGCCTTCCCGTCTCTCCCACCCCCATGCCCTCCCTTCTCCCCCTCCCCCCTAAGCCCCCCACTCTCCCCCACCCCACCTAAGTCTTCCCCTCTCCCCCACTCCCCTAAACCCTCCCCTCTTCCTCACCCACCTCAGCCCTCCCTTTTCCCCCGCGCCCCCCAAGCCCTCCACCCTTTTCTCTCCCCCCAAGCCCCCCCATCTCCCCTATCCCCCACAGCCTCTCCTCCCCCCATGCTTCCCCAACCCTCCCTCTCTTACCCACCCCCTGTACCCTCCCCCTCTTATCCACCCCCTGTACCCTCCCCCTCTTATCCACCCCCTGTACCCTCCCCCTCTTATCCACCCCCTGTACCCTCCCCCTCTCCCCCACCACCCCAAGCCCTCCCTCCTCCACCAATCCCCCCGTGCCAGGTCCCCCCAGCTCCCACTCACCCCAGATCCCAAAGGTCCCCCCCAGAAAAGAAGCAGAAGAGAGTCAGTTTCAGGGTGATGTACTCGAACATAGATGGGATCACAAGCAAGACAAGTGAACTAAGGGAAAGAGCACAAGAAGTTAACCCAGATGTAATCGGACTCACTGAAACAAAACTCTCTGGAATCATAACGAATGCCGTGTTTTCCCCAGGAGTATACAGTAATAAGGAAAGAGAGGGAAGGTAGAGGAGGAGGCGGAGTGGCCCTACTCATGAGAAGGGAATGGAGTTTTAAGGAGATGGCCATCCCGGGCTGTGAGGAGTTCAGAGACTACATAGCAGGCACCATAACAATGGGAGGACCAAGAATAGTAGTAGCAGTAATATACAACCCTCCACCAAATGACAGGAGACCCAGTCAAGAGTATGAAAACAACAACAAGGCAGTTAACACTATAATTGAGAGGGCAGCCTCTGCTGCCTGTAGAAATAGATCCCACCTGCTCATCATGGGCGACTTCAATCACGGAAAGATTGACTGGGAGAACAAGGAACCGCATGGAGGCGAGGATACGTGGAGAGCCAAACTATTGGAGGTGGTGACAAGCAACTTTTTAACGCAGCATGTCGGAGAACCCACAAGGATGAGAGGCAATGACGAACCAGCGAGACTCGACCTAGTCTTCACTCTGAACGACTCCGACATAAGAGAAATCGGTTTTGAGGACCCAGTAGGAATGAGCGACCACAGTGTACTGGTGTTTGAGTACTTGATTGAAGAAGGGTTATTGAACTCGAGGAGGGATACCGAAACCAAAAGGTTAGCATACCGAAAGGGAAACTATGAGGGGATAAGAAAATTCCTAACAGATATAGCATGGGAAACAGAGCTCAGGGGAAAGACGGCCCAAGATATGATGGATTACATCACGCAGAAGTGCAAGGACGCAGCAAACAAGTTTGTCCCAGTCCAAAAGGAAAACAGAGAAATGAAGATGAGAAACCCATGGTTTAATCAAAGATGTAGGCTAGCTAAGCAGCAAAGTAAAAGGGCATGGAGAAACTATAGGAATAACAGGACACTGGAGAGCAGAGAAAGATACCAGAATGCCAGGAATGAATATGTCAGGATGAGAAGAGAGGCAGAAAGACAATACGAAAATGACATCGCAAGCAAGGCAAAGACTCAGCCTAAATTGTTGCATAGCCACATTAGGAGAAAAACAACAGTAAAGGAACAGGTTATGAGATTAAGGATAGGGGCGGAAGGATTCACTACAAATGACAAGGAAGTGTGTGAGGAATTGAATAAGAAATTCCAGGAGGTCTTCACCTTAGAACAAGGAGAAATTCCAGAGGTAAGTGAGGGAATAGCTAACCAGGAACCACTGGAAGAGTTTGAGATTACCAGTGGGGAAGTAAGGAAGTGTTTACTAGAGTTGGACGTGACGAAGGCTATAGGCCCAGATGGAATCTCCCTTGGGTTCTAAAGGAAGGAGCAAGAGAACTGAGCCTACCACTCTCCATAGTGTATAACAAATCACTGGCAACAGGGGAACTGCCAGATACTTGGAAAGCAGCTAACGTAGTCCCGATATACAAGAAAGGGGATAGACAGGAGGCACTGAACTACAGGCCAGTGTCCCTAACCTGCATACCATGCAAGCTGATGGAGAAGATTGTGCGAAAAAAACTAGTGGAGCATCTGGAGCGAAGGAACTTTGTAACACAGCATCAACATGGGTTCAGGGATGGCAGGTCCTGCCTCACAGGGTTACTTGAATTCTACGACCAGGCAACAAAAATAAGGCAAGAAAGAGAAGGGTGGGCAGACTGCATATTTTTGGATTGTCAGAAAGCCTTTGATACAGTGCCACACAAGAGGCTAGTGCGAAAGTTGGAGATGCAGGCTGGAGTGAGAGGGAAGGTACTCCGGTGGATAGAGGAATACCTAAGCAACAGGAGACAACGAGTCTGTGTGAGGGGTGAAGTCTCAGATTGGCGAGACGTCACAAGTGGAGTCCCGCAGGGGTCAGTCCTCGGACCTATACTGTTTCTGGTATATGTAAATGATCTCCCAGAGGGTATAGATTCGTTCCTCTCAATGTTTGCCGACGATGCAAAAAATTATGAGGAGGATTGAAACAGAGGATGATAGTAGGAGGCTACAAGATGACCTGGATAGACTGAGTGAATGGTCCAACAAATGGCTGTTGAAGTTCAACCCGAGTAAATGCAAAGTAATGAAACTAGGCAAAGAGGC